TACAGTTTTTCAAAAATATATTTCTTTTAAGAGTAACGAATTATTTAAATAATTTGTAAAGTATGTGTGATGTGAGCAGAATATTTATTATCAGTTGTCAGATACAAATTACATCTGCATAATTCTTGTCACGCACATTATTTCTCAGATCAGTACCATAGAGATTATACATTAAATGCATGCTTATTGATTATATTTAAATAATATTTTAAATCTTTACATTAATTTAAATTTTTAGGATCAGTGTAGCAATATACCAACACTTGAACAAAATAGATTACAGTATTTCAATGCTAGCTACCATTGGTTCCCCCAAAAGCATTCATACAATTCATTGGCTTTCCATAGATTCTTATCTAATGCACCCCCAGTATCCCCTTTATTGAGCTATTTTTTTAGTTAAATTCTTTCCTTTCTATCCTTTTGAAGGTATAATTGTTATACCATTTTCCATATATGTTTATTGATCCTTTCAAATATTTTGAGGGAAATCATCTTTCTCTTGACTCCATTTCTTTCTTTTCTCGCTTTGTTTTAAATCTGTGGCACATATCTAACACTTAATTATGAAACATTTTAAACATACAGAAAAGTTGAAAGAATTTTACAGTGAATGTCTATATTCCTACTACCTAGATTCTACCACTAATGTGCTTGTTTTATCAATATTTACCTATCTCGCTATTCAGCCATCAATCATATTTTGCTGCATTTTTATCAGAGTATTTTGCAGACAGTATACTTCCTTCTAAATCAGCGGTTCTCAACCTGTGGGTCGCGACCCCTTTGGGGAGTCAAACGACCCTTTCACAGGGGTCGCCTAAGACCATTGGAAAACACATATATAATTACATATTGTTTTTGTGATTAATCACTATGATTTAATTATGTTCAATTTGTAACAATGAAATTGGGGGTCACCACAACATGAGGAACTGTATTAAAGGGTCGCAGCATTAGGAAGGTTGAGAACCACTGTTCTAAATGCTTCTGCATACATATCATTAATTAGAGTTCAGTATTTAGTTTTTCTTTAAAGATAACATTTATATACGATGAAGTGCACAATTCTTAAGTGTACATTCCATTATTTTTGACAAATGCATGTACCTGTATAACTGAAACTCCCATCAAGATAAGACCCTTAGTGTCACCCCAGAAAATTCCCTTATGCTCTTTCCCAGGTGGTTCTATCTCCTTATTCCTCAAAGGTAACAGCTGTTCTGATAATTGTTCTACTATAGATTGGTTCTGCTCTTCTCAAACTTTATAGAAATGGAATTCTAATGTACTTTTTTTTATGAGTCTACTTTTATTTATCATAATATTTTTGGGATTCATCCATACTGTTGTATAGATCAGTACTTCCTTTATATTGCTGAGTAATATTCCATCATATGAATATATTATAATTTATCTGTTGTTTTATAATGGACATCTGAGCTGTTTTCATGGCAACTTATTTTTGCTGTTATTACTTATTTTACACAGGATGAAGTCATATCTCCCTTGCTTATTCCTTCACTCTTACATCACTAACATTATGGTGGTTTAGGTTGGAGTTCTCACTGTAGCAACTTACATACAGTAGCAGCAGAAAAGGGGAGAAGTTAGGGATGGGGTAGAGGACACAGAGTCATTACATGTTATTGGTACTAAAGTCAATCTCTACTACAATTGTACATTGAAATTCAGTTTTTCAAGTTGACCTGTTTGCAGTATTTCATTTGCTAATTAGACAGTACTCTATTATACCATCTTTGATACAGTGGCAAGGTGACACATCTTATAAATTTAAACATGTTTTTGTCTACTGTATGTATGGTGTACATGCTTTGTATCTATTCTCCAAATACCATAAAAGCATCAAGACTTGTTTTATAATACAGTCTCTTCATTTAATTTGTGATATCCCAAAGAAAATATAATTTTTTAAAAATTACGTGGTTTGAGGACAAGTAACTAAGGATATCAAAGAAGCATTTAAAATATTAAAACCCACTCAGTATTTTCCAGAAGATGTGAAAGTAATACCACTTAATAGGTTAGCTGCCACCCTGCACTTTTGAAGCACTTTAGAGTCATTCATCTGTCTGAGGTAGACAGTATTAGTACCTTTGCTTGGTTAATAAATGAGAACTCCCTGCCACCACCCTCCCCGGGTTTTACTATATTTGAATTCCAGAATTTATCCAGAGCGCTCCAAACAGTGCTTGTGTGGTCTTCTGGTGTCCTAACAAAGGTTCCTTTTAAAAATGGCCTTCCTCCCTTATCTCCTGAATACTTCTGGGATGTTTTTTTGCAGAAGAGTTGTTAAAACTAGATACAAAGAATTGTTGTTTTTGTAGTAGCAGTAAATTGTTTTTGTGGTAGCAGTAAAAATAAATTTAACTTGAAAATTTGTAAGAGATTATATCATTCATAGAAGATAAAAGTTATATATAAAAATAGGTGAAATGCTTCATAAATGTGGATAAAGTCTTTAAACAGAACTTTATTGGGCACCTAATTTATGTTTTTCTTGAGAAAAGGGAAAGAAATCATGGGTGTTGAGTTTCTGATTTTGTCATAAATGGCTATGAGGATGGTATCTCTGCAGATTATTGCTTATCTTATTTGAACTGATAATCTTAAATTAGAGCATGTTTATGGGAACTTATTATTTGAATAAGTAAAGTGTCATCCCATTCAGACACCTGGCTGTGCTAGTCTTTGTTCATTTAAATACAAAACATTTTTAAAGCAAAAATTCCAAAGCCTGGTTATTTTATCTATGCTTATTTACAAGTATATTTGATCCGGTTCTTGTTTTTGAGCTTCTTAATACTGCATAAAAATATTAATCATTAGTAGTCTTAATGTAGATAATCTTCAACACTTCTACAGAAAGTCATTGTCAGAATTCATTCCAATTCAAGGTTAATTAGTGTACCATTAAAATAATGTGTTACCAAAATTAATTACATTGCAGGTCAAGCAATGTGTTAAAAAGCATAGTGTAAGTGTCTGAGAGCACATCATCCTCCTTAAAACATTGCTGTACAGTGCCACCCTGCTGGAAAATATATCCAAAGTGGATATCACTACTGAGGTCCAGTCATAGGTGTTCCCCCTAAAGTAAATTTTTGGCACCACATATGGGGAATTTAAAATATAACTCCCATTAACAGTAAAATGTGTTGCTTGTCTGCTTTCCCATCGGAACAGCTAAGGACTTGTATTTTATTATTAATCGATGTAACCCTACTGGGTTAATTCTAAGGAGAAATTAGGAACCTAGTGGAGAGTAGAAATTATCTTGTGGTAAAAGTACTAGATATATTAATATTATGTTTTCTTACTTAACTGGTAGGTAGTTGTGGTAGGTGCCCTGTGAAAGTGTATCACACATCATTTTAACTATGTAGTAATTCTTGTTAATAGTTTAACTTAATAGCCATAAAATGTACACTTAAAGTTAGAACTAAATATGATAGAGACTTTGAAATTTTATATGATTCTTTTAATGTAAAAGCTGTAAAACAGTTACATTGAACTAAAGGGTATTTTCTATATTGGTATTTGTTCTGAGAGTCTTATTAGGGTATCTAATTATTCATACGGAGAGTTTTGAAATTAGTGCCTTGCTAACAGCAGGTCATTAGAGTTACAGAAATTTTAACATAGGAAACTGTTCTCTACTTAACAGAACATTTTTTTACTTGGCTTGCAGAATTGTCCCCATTTAAAAAAAATTCTCAGTGGGCTCTGAACAAAATAGTTTTGCTGCTACAACAAATTTTGAGTGATTTGCCCATATGTTTTAATTTTCTGCTTCCCTTCCTGTTTGGATTTTGAGTAAGCCTATTGGAAAACATATTGACAGGTAAATAAAAATAAGTTGAGCAAAAGAAAGAAAAGGCAAAGAACAATTTGTAGAGAAGAAGTTGTCTTTATTTTTTTGTTGTTTTTTCAAGAATGGATCCTAGTTTAATTAGTTGAACTAATAGGTGCTTGAATAGGTGCTGGAAGATAAAGAGAGTAAGTGGGTTTAGAAAAGCTTTCTTGAAAGGTGCTTTTTCCTTTAAAGCCATCTTTATCCCACTTTGTCCTACTTAAATCTTTTCTAAAATGACATAAAGCAGGGATTTCAACTTAATGTGGAAACACATTCCAGTTCTTAAAAATGACAACATCACTACCACCTTCAGAAGGTAGTGTTAAGCCATACATCACTCACTGCTTCCAAGAAGCCCTTAGTTGGGGTTTTGTTTATTCATTGGACCAAGTAGCTTCTTTCATTAACTAAACCAAGATTTTCTGATGGTGCAGAATAGAATTAACACATTGGTAGTAACCCTGAGTCTTTGGTAGACAACAGTTAAAGTAGTGTTTTATACTTTCTCTCCTAATAGTTAATCATCTGTTCTCTTTTACAAGTGAGTTTCACAGTCAACGTTTGAAGCTAGAGACCCAAGTAAACAATACTAGTGTTTTTGAGATATTTAAGAGTGTAAATTTGGACTATTAAGAGGAAATGCTTACTTTCAAACTGATTAAATTTTCTTACATTGTAAGGAATAAACTAGCATATTTAGATATACTACACTTAGATTATATTTTCTGCCTACGTTTTAGTACTCATTTTTTTATCCAATAGACTTCTTTCACCAGAAGTGGTGAATGTGATAATTTAAGAAAACTATCTTACATTTATAAAGTAGTACTTTAAAATTTTCAAAGAATTATCTTGCAGCTCACTCATTCAACAAATATTACCCTTATTTTCATTCTATAGGGAGGAAATTGATCAGGCTGACATAAGTCATTGGGCTAGAAGTACAACTCAGGATTGCCCGTTGATTCCAAAAAGATTACTGCTTTTCCCATAGAGCATTTTATATCATCATTCTTAGAATAATTAACCCAGTTTTACTTATTACTTTGTCTTAAAACATTATATTTTTTATATGGCCTCACAGCTGTATTAACAAATTTATTTCTCTTTTTCTGTGTTTTAGGGCAGAGCTCTACTCCATTGGGCATGTGATCGAGGACATAAGGAACTAGTCACAGTCTTGCTACAATACAGAGCTGATATTAACTCTCAGGTAAGAGTGATTGATGAAGGGGGAGCTTGTTTAAAAAATCAAGGTCAAATCCACTTAACATAAAATTTATCATTAACTATTGTACAGTGTACAGTTCAGTGGCATTAGTTAATTTAACAGTGTTATAAAACCATCACTACTCTCTTATTCCACATTTTCATCACCCAAAAGGAAACCTTGTGCCCATTAAACAGTCACTACCTACATCCTGTCAGTGTATTTCTGGGCTGTTCAGTACCATTGCTCTGTTTTTCTGTTCATGTACTTACGCTGTGCTTTTTAAAGTATTATAGCTTCGAAATATGTTTTCATATCTTTGAGGATAAATTCCTTCCCTGCTTGTTCAGAATTTTTCCTGGTATTTTTGCTTTATTTTTCTGTGAACTGTGAAATCATCTTTCAAACCCTTGCTTCTTCCCCCAAGCAACACCACTATCACTAAGTTTTAAAAAACAAAAGAAAGAAATAATTGGTGCACTCATGTCTTTTATTTGGTTTGGATTGTTAGGGTATATTTTTAAAATTATTTTTGTTTTTCAATTACAGTTGACATTCAATATTTTATATTTGTTTCAGATGTACAGCATAGTGGTTAAAACAAGTATATAATTTATGAAGTGATCTTCCTGATAACTCTACTTCCCACCTGGCACCATAGGTGCTAATTACAATATTATTGACTATTTTCCCTATGCTATACTTTGCATCCTGTGACTATTTTGTAACTTCTTACTCCCTTTACCTTTTTCACCCATCCCCACACCTCCCTCCCATCTGGCAACCTTCAGTTTGTTCTGTTTTGTTTGTTCATTTATTTTATTCTTTAGATTCCACTTATAAATGAAATTATATGGTATTTTGTCTTCCTCTGTCTGACTTATTTCACTTAGCACAATACCCTGTAAGGTCCATCCGTATTGTTGCAAATGGCAAGATTTCATTCTTTTTTATGGCTGAGTAATATTCCATTGTATATATGTACCACATTTTCTTTATCCAATCGTCTGTTGATAGACACTTGGATTGCTTCCGTATCTTAGCTATTGTAAATAACGCTACAAAATGAGGATAGTGGTGCATTTACCTTTTGACTTAGTATTTTTAATTTCTTCAGAGTATTTGGAGGGAAATGTCCCCAAGTTAGGCAGAGCCTGAGGTTTTTGCTTGTGGGTTTCCTGTATTCTATTTGTTTGGGTAATAATATAAGGCAGACAAGCCAAAAACTACCTTATGTGGCTTTATAGAACACTCTTTACTGAATATCAATTTTAATGTAAAGTAAAAGTTTCATGTAGGTTTTTAGAATGGATCAGTTAGGACTATATACCTGGCCAATGTTTTCTTTTTTTCTCTTTGTATTCACATGACCACTTTATATTGATCCTAGTTTTGATTTTCCTTTGTTATTGACAATCCTAAGTCATGTGACCTAGTTTCAGTTAGGGAATGTTCTGCTTTTGTCATTTTTGGTTGCTAACATGCTTCCAAGTCATGGGGGACTTTTGGAAATTAGCTCTCAGAATAGCTTTTTCCCCTTGTAATTTCTTCTTTGGTTTCAATTTTGAAAATATAGATAATACAAACATAATAAATGGAAGTAAAGGTTCATCTCTCTCATGACTCAGTCTTTCTTAAACAACATTATTATTGACTGGCCTACTGGCTGCCAAAAAAGAAAATCAATTTTATTAGAAATACTTGCTTGACCACAGATCTTGGTTACTAACCACCTGAGACAGGCTGATGTTATCAACTATCTGAAGACTAATTTTTACTATTTGCCTGAAACCGAGTAATAATTAGAGATATGTCACAGTCTACTCTGTTTTCCTGTCACTTTTACCCTTCAGTATATCTCATATACTTTATTGCCCTGCAGTTTCTATATTCTGATGGAATTGGAACTTTTAATTTTATTTCTAAGAAAGATCCTTTATAGATTTCAATTTTTATCTGGCAATATTGTGAACATTGTCTTTTCCATTGCTTGGTACTGATTTTTAGTTCAACTCTGGAAGCTAAGTTCTTAACCACATTTGAGATTAAGACAGAAGTTAAATACACACACATACACCCGCAGACCTCTTGAGTAACTTTGATCTTTCAAGCCTTGGAGAAAAACTGAAGCTACTCCCAAAGCAAATTAAAAAGTATTTGAATGTTGAAGACTTCTTGCTACGTTTTCTCAGTTTTACTGTAAAGTAACATTAAGGAAATAAGCAGGATAGAGGTAGGAGTAGGAGCATTGGTCATGAGGTGTCTACACTATGCACTGGGTGTTAGGAAATTCAAAAGGAAGTTATTTTGTTTGAGTGGTACTGAAACATTTAAGTACTCTGTGATTTATAAATTACACTAGAGGCCCGGTGCACAAAAATTTGTGCACTTGGGGGGGCCCTCTGCCTGGCCTGTGCTCTCTCGCAGTCTGGGACCCCACGGGGGATGACCACCTGCTGGCTTAGGCCTGTTCCTCGGGGGATTGGGCCTAAGCTGGCAATCAGACATCCCTCTGGCAGGCCGGCAGCCCTCGGGGGATGTCCACTTGCCAGCGGGGAGCAGACCTAAGCTGCAGTTGGACATCCTTAGCGCTGCTGAGGAGGCGGGAGAGGCTCCCACCACCACCACTGTACTGGCAGCAATTAGCCTGTCTTGTGGCTGAGCAGAGCTCCTCCATGTGGGAGCTCACTGACCACCAGAGGGCAGCTCCTGCATTGAGTGTCTGCCCCCTGGTGGTCAGTGTGTGTCATAGTGACCAGTCATTCCCAGTCTTTCTGCTGTTAGGGTCAGTTTGCATATTACTCTTTTACTATATAGGATAGAGGCCTGGTGCACGGGTGGGGGCCGGCTGGTTTGCCCTGAAGGGTGTCCCGGATCAGAGTGGGGGTCCCGCTTGGGTGCCTGGCCAGCCTGGGTGAGGGGCTGATGGCTGTTTGCAGCTGCTCACACCCCCTTCAGGGTGGGGGTCCCCCCTGGGATGCCTGGCCAGTCTGGATGAGGGGCTGAGGGCTGTTTTCAGGCTGGCCAAGCCGGCAACGGAAACTCCCAGCCTCTCCTTTTTTTCTTTTTTTTCTTTTTTTATTCTGGGATTTATTTACCTTCTATAATTGAAACTTTGTTGCCACTCCAGCTCTGAGGCAGGGCTTGCTGAAAGCAGGTATCTGGGGTTTGTTTAGCTTCTATAATTGAAACTTTGTTGCTTTTGGAGCTGTTGCTTTCGGAGCTCAGAGCCGGGCCGCAGCAGGCGGGGAACCTTGGCTTCCTCCATCACTGGAGCAACCAAGCCTCCTGCTCGCTTCAGCTCCGTGGCTGCCGGCCGCCATCTTGGTTGGGTTAATTTGCATATCCTGCTGATTAGCCAATGGGAAGCATAGCGGAGGTATGGTCAATTACGATGTTTGTCTATTATTAGATTAGATAAACTTATGGTTAGTATAATGGCATAGAGCAACACAGCCTCTCTGTGAATACCTTGGTGACCATCTGTGTGTTGTAAAAGATTTCAAAACATGAGATGTTAACTAGATTTATTGTAGTGATTATTTCGTAATATATACAAATATCATTATGTTGTACACCTGAAACTAGTATAATGTTATATGTCAATTATCTAATCTAATAAAAGACAAACATGCAAATTGACTGTATCTTCGCTACTCCTTAGGCCACGCCCACCAGCCAATCAGAGCGACTATATGCAAATTAACCCAACCAAGATGGTGGCTGGCAGCCACAGAGCTGGAGCAAGCAGGAGGCTTGGTTGCCCCAATGATGGAGGAAGCCAAGCTTCCTGGCCGGCTCTGAGCCACTGCAGGCAACAAAGTTTCAATTATAGAAGATAAATAAACCCCAGATACCTGCTTTCAGCCAGCCATGGCCACGGAGCTGGAGTGAGCAGGAGCCGGCTCTGAGCTCCACTGAAGGCAACAAAGTTTCAATTATAGACGGTAAATAAATCCCAGAATAAAAGAAAAAAAGGAGAGGCTGGGAGCTTCCGTCGTTGGGGGGCTTGGCCAGCCTGAAAATGGCCCTCAGCCCCTCACCCAGACTGGCCAGGCACCCCAGTGGACCCCCCACCCTAAAGGGGGTGTGGCCAGCCTGAAAACAGCCATCAGCCCCTCACCCAGGCTGGCCAAACCTCCATGGAGTGAGGGTCCCCACTGGGGGGGGCTTGACCAGCCTGCAAACAGCCATTAGCCCCTCACCCAGGCTGGCCAGGCACCCCAGTGGGGACCCCCACCCTAAAGGGGGTGTGACCAGCCTGCAAACAGCCATCAGCCCCTCACCCAGGCTGGACAGGCACCCCAGTGGGAACCCCCACCCTGAAGAGGGTGTGAGCAGCTGCAAACAGCCATCAGCCCCTCACCCAGGCTGGCCAGGCACCCCAGCAGGACCCCCACCCTGATCCGGGACACCCTTCAGGGCAAACCAGCCGGCCCCCACCCATGCACCAGGCCTCTATCCTATATAATAAAACAGTAATATGCAAACTGACCCTAACAGCAGAAAGACTGGGAATGACTAGTCACTATGACACACACTGACCACCAGGGGGCAGACGCTCAATGCAGGAGCTGGCCCCTGGTGGTCTGTGCGCTCCCACAGGGGGAGCTCTGCTCAGCCACAAGCCAGGCTGATGGCTGCCAGTACAGTGGTGGTGGTAGGAGCCTCTCCCGCCTACTCAGCAGCGCTAAGGATGTCTGACTGCAGCTTAGGTCTGCTCCCTGCTGGCAAGTGGACATCCCCTGAGGACTGCTGGGCTGCCAGAGTGATGTCTGACTGCCAGCTTAGGCCCAATTCCCCAGGGAGCGGGCCTAAACCAGCAGGTGGTCATCGCCCAAGGGGTCCCAGACTGCGAGAGAGCACAGGCCAGGCTGAGGGACCCCCCTGAGTACACAAATTTTTGTGCACTGGGCCTCTAGTCCTATATAATAAACGGCTAATATGCAAATCAACCAAACGGCAGAATAACCAGTTGCTATGGCACCCACTGACCACCAGGG